AGAGTACATAAATCCAAGAAGCAAACTATCGATTTGGAATCTAAGGAAGCAAAAAACGCCCAATCAGAATAGCAAAAAGAAAAAAGAATCCAAAAAAATGAGGATAGTGTAAGGAGCCTCTGGGACAACTTCAAGCGTGCCAACATTCGCATCTTGGGGGTGCCAGAAGGAAAAGAGCAAGAACAAGAAATCAAAAACCTGTTTGAAACAATAATCCTAGAAAACTTTCCTAACTTGGTGAAGGAAACAGACATACAAGTCCAGGAAGCACAGAGAGTCCCAAGCAAGATGAACCCCAAGAGGCCCACACCAAGACACATCATCATCAAAATGCTCCTCTCTCCCTCTCCGGGGGGGGAAGGGCGGGCCCAACCCCCCGAGTGTTACAGCCCCCCGGCAGCAGCGCTCGCCGAATCCCGGGGCCGAGGGAGCAGACCTGTCGCCGCGCTCTCCCCCCTCCCGGCGCTCACCCCCGTGGGGGCTCTCCCGCGAGGGGGTCCCCCCCGCGGGGGCGCGCCGGTGTCCCGGGGGGGCCGGGCCGCCCCTCCCACGGCGCGACCGCTCCCCCACCCCCCCGCCCCCGGCGACGGGGCGCGCGGGGGGGCGGGGCGGACTGTCCCCAGTGCGCCCCGGGCGGGTCGCGCCGTCGGGCCCGGGGGGTTTCCAAAAATATATTAAAAATCTTCTGGAGGACTTCAAAGGAGAAATCGATAGCAATACAATCATAACAGGGGACTTCAACACCCCGCTCACATCACTGGATAGATCCTCTAGACAAAAAATTAGCAAGGAAACAGAGACTCTAAATGAAGCACTAGACCAAATGGATTTAATAGATATCTACAGAGAACTACACCCCAAAACTACAGAATTCACATTCTTCTCAAGTGCACATGGAACATTCTCAAAGATAGACCACATGTTAGGGCACAAACTAAGTCTCTACAAGTTCAAGAAGATTGAAATTATAACAAGCATCTTCTCAGACCACAATGGTATGAAACTAGAAATCAATTGCAAGAAGAACATACAAAGACATTTTAACACATGGAAGCTAAATAGAATGTTATTAAACAATGAATGGGTCACCGAGGAAATCAAGGAAGAAATCAAAAACTTCCTGGAAACCAATGAAAATGAGGACACAACAATACAAAATCTATGGGATGCAGCAAAAGCAGTTCTGAGAGGGAAGTTTATAGCACTACAGGCCTACCTCAAAAAGAAGAAAAATCTCTAATAGACTACCTAACCTCACAACTTAAAGAACTAGAGAGTAAACAAAAAGAAAACCCCAGAGCAAGCAGAAGAAAAGAAATAGTAAGGATCAGAGCAGAAATAAACGACATAGAGACCAAAAAAACAATCCAGAGGATCAATAAAACAAAGAGCTGGTTTTTTGAAAAGATAAACAAGATTGATGGACCCTTAGCTAGACTCACCAAGAAACAAAGAGAGAGAACCCAAATACATAAAATCAGAAATGAAACAGGAGAGATAACAACTGACCCTACAGAAATACAAAAGATCGTTAACAACTACTATGAAAAATTATACGGCAACAAATTCGAAAATCTAAGCGAAATGGACAAATTTTTAGAAACACATAGCCTCCCAAAATTGGATCAGATAGAGATTGAAAACTTGAACAGACCAATAACAACAGAGGAAATTGAAGATGTAATCAAGACTCTTCCAGCAAACAAAAGCCCAGGCCCAGATGGCTTCACAGGGGAGTTTTACCGAACATTCAAAGAAGAACTAATACCCATTCTCCTCAAACTATTTCAAAAAATTCAAGAAGAAGGAAGACTGCCAAACTCGTTTTATGAAGCCAGCATAACTTTAATTCCAAAACCAGAAAAAGACACAACAAAGAAAGAAAACTACAGGCCAATATCCCTGATGAACATAGATGCCAAAATCCTGAACAAAATACTAGCAAATCGAATCCAGCAATACACCAGAAAAATTATCCACCATGACCAGGTGGGATTCATCCCAGGGATGCAAGGCTGGTACAATATTCGCAAATCCATAAATGTGATACACCACATAAATAAATTGAAGAATAAAAACCACATGATCATATCAATAGATGCTGAAAAAGCCTTTGACAAAATCCAGCATCCATTTCTGATAAAAACGCTCACCAGTGTGGGAATTGAGGGATCATACCTAGACATAATAAAGGCCATATATGAAAGACCTACAGCCAACATCATACTCAATGGGCAAAAACTAAAAGCATTTCCCTTAAGAACAGGAACAAGGCAAGGATGCCCACTTTCGCCACTCCTATTTAACATAGTACTGGAAGTCTTAGCCACAGCAATCAGACAGGAAGAAAAAATAAAAGGGATCCAAATTGGAAAGGAGGAAGTGAAAGTGTCATTATTTGCAGATGACATGATACTGTACATAGAAAATCCCAAAGACTCCACCAAAAGCTTACTAGACTTAATAAATGAATTTGGCAAAGTAGCAGGATACAAAATTAACGTCAAGAAATCGATGGCATTCTTATACACCAATGATGAACTCACAGAAAGAGAAACTAGGCAAACAATCCCATTTACCATTGCGGCAAAAAAATTAAGATACCTAGGAATAAACTTAACCAAAGAGATAAAGGACCTATTCGCAGAAAACTACAGATCTTTGAAAAATGAAATAGAGCAAGATGTAAAAAAGTGGAAGAACATACCCTGTTCATGGATTGGGAGAATTAACATCATTAAAATGTCCATATTACCCAAAGCAATCTATAGATTCAACGCAATCCCCATCAAAATACCAACGGCATACTTCAAAGAATTAGAACAATTACTTCAAAAGTTCATATGGAACCAAAAAAGGCCTCGAATAGCCACAGCAATCTTGAAAAGGAAGAACAAAGTTGGAGGGATCACAATACCAGATTTCAGGTTATACTACAAAGCCACCATAATCAAAACAGCCTGGTACTGGCACAAGAACAGGTATATAGACCAGTGGAACAGAATAGAGAACCCAGAAATGGACCCTAGGCAATATGCTCAATTAATATTTGACAAAGGTGGCAAGAGCATACAGTGGAGTAAGGACAGCCTCTTTAATAAATGGTGCTGGGAAAATTGGACAGCTACTTGCCGAAAAATGAAACTAGACCATCAACTTACACCCTACACCAAAATAAACTCAAAATGGATAAAAGACTTAAATGTAACCCATGAATCCATAAAAATCCTAGAGGAGACTGTGGGCAACAAAATCTCAGACATCATACGCAGCAGAATTTTTACTGACACATCACCTAAGGCAATAGAAACAAAGGAGAAAATGAACACATGGGACTACATCAAACTCAAAAGCTTCTGCACAGCGAAAGATACAATCATCAAAACGGAAAGGCTACCCACTGTATGGGAGAGCATAATTGCCAATGATATATCAGATAAGGGGTTAATTTCCAATACATATAGAGTGCTCACACAACTCCACAAAAGGAAGACAAAGAATCCAATTAAAAAATGGGCAGAGGAACTAAATAGACACCTCTCCAAACAGGACATACAAATGGCTAAGAGACATATGAAGAAATGTTCATCATCACTAATCATCAGAGAGATGCAAATCAAAACAACAATGAGGTATCACCTCACACCGGTCAGAATGGCCGCCATCAACAAATCATCAAACAACAAGTGTTGGCGAGGGTGTGGAGAAAAGGGGACTCTAGTACACTGTTGGTGGGAATGCAGACTGGTGCAGCCACTATGGAAAACAATATGGTGTCACCTCAAAAAATTAAAAATTGAACTCCCATTTGACCCAGTGATCCCACTTCTAGGAATATACCCTAAGAAGCCTGAAACACCAATCAGAAAGAATATATGTACCCCCATCTTTGTAGCAGCACTATTTACAATCGCTAAGATCTGGAAACAGCCCAAGTGCCCATCAGTAGACGAATGGATTAAAAAGCTGTGGTACATATACACAATGGAGTACTACGCAGCGGTAAGAAAGAAAGATCTCGTGTCCTTTGAGACTACATGGAGGGACCTGGAAAGTATCATCCTGAGTGAAACAAGCCAAGCAGAGAAAGACAAATTTCATATGATCTCACTGATTTCTGGAATATAATGAACATAACAGTTTGAGGACAATCCCCTAAGGAGTGGGGAGCTGAGAGAGGGATGAACAACAGAATTTATATGCATATAGGCATGAACAGTGGACATGGACAACAATCGGGGGAAGGGGCGGGGAGGGAAGGGGGAGGGGGGAACCACTGGGGGAAAAAAGGAGAATCATTTGTAACAAAAATTATTCAATAAAAAAAAAAAAAAAAATTAAAAAAAAAAAAAAAATAAATAAACAAAATGCAAAAGGTTCATGACAAAGAGAGAATCTTTTTTTTATCCTCACCCGAGGATATTTTTCCATTTTTTTGTACAGATAGAGTGGGAGGGAGAGAGAGGAAGGGAGAGAGAGAGAGAAACATCGACGTGAAGGGACACATCGAGTGGCTGCCACCCGCACGACCAACCAGGGCCGGGGACAAACTGCAACTGAAGTACGTGCCCTTAGCGGGAACCGAACCCAGGTCACATGCTGGGGTCTCAGGCTCCATCCCCAGTAGGGGGTATGCAGGAGGCAGCTGATCGATGTTGTTGCTTCTCTCTCTCATTGATGTTTCTAACTCTCCCTAAAAAATCCATAAAAACATTAAAAAATAAATACTTCATGGCTTTGAGATTTGTAAATCCTTTTATATATAGCATTTTACAAATAACAGTTCAGAATTTTAAAATTTTAAGCAAAATTACTCACTTTGGTCTATGATAAAGCATTTCAGATCCATATTGCTACTGTAAAGTTAATATGTGACATTATACATTATTTTCTTCATTTATACAACTTTCTATTTAATTTTCATTGAGTTCTTGTGACAGTTTTATAATGGAGTATATAAAGTAATTTTAAATATATTTACTTTACTTATTTTCTTTTAGGACTTTAAATGTCTTGGATAGAAGAACTGGAATTTACAAAGAGTGATAAAGCTGCCAGAGTCATTCAGAAGGCCTGGAAAAGCTTCCTTGTGAGTCTCATTTGTTTGTTTGAAGCTGTATTGAGATATAATTTAGCTATCATAAAGATCACCTGTTTAAAGTGTACATTTCAATAATTTTTAGTATATTTACAGAGTTGTGACCACCTTTGGCTTTGAAATCAGACATTTTTTTTTATCCTTACCCGAGGACATTTTTTAATTTTTTGTTCAGATAGAGTGGAAGGGAGAGAGAGGAAGAGAGAGAGAGAAAGAGAAACATCTACGTGAAAAGGACACCCGCACTACCAACCAGGGACAGGGACAAACCACAACCCGAGTTGCGCGCCCTTAGCGGGAGCCGAACCTGGGTCTCTCTGGACCGCAGGCCGACTCTCTAACCACTGAGCAAAACCGGCCAGGGCGAAAGCAGACATTTTTCTTTTTCTTTTTTTTTAATTCTCACCCAAGGACATCCCTCCATCCCCTGTTCAGACAGAGTAAGAGGGAGAGAGAGGAAGAGAGACAGAGAAACATCGACGAGAAAGGGACACATTGAGTGGCCACTACCCGCACAACCCATCCAGGGCCAGGGACAAACCGCAACTGAGTTACGTGCCCCCAGTGGGAATCGACCCGGGTCTCTCTGGACTGCAGGCCGACGCTCTAACCGCTGAGTCAAACTGGCCAGGGTGCGGACATTTTTTTAAAGTTTCAAAAAGTTAACATTAATTAATGCTCTCATTAACTTCACAAATATTTATAGAGCCAGGCACTTTGATAATAGCTACTATTGCCCAGCCAGTGTGGCTCAGTGGTTGAGCGTCCATCCATGGACTGAGAGGTCCCAGTTTGATTCCTGATTAGGGCACAGGCCTGGGTTGTGGGTTCAATCCCCAGTAGGGGGTGTGCAGGTTCTCTCTCCCTCTCTCTTTTTTTTTATCCTCACTCGAGGACAGTTTTGCATTTATCCTCAGATAGAGAGGGAGGAAGAGAGAGAGAAACATCAATGTGAGAGAGACACATCGACTGGTTGCCACCCGCATGACCCCAACTGGGGCCGGGGACAAACTGCAACCGAGGTACATGCCCTTAGCGAGAACTGAACCGGTACTCTCTGGTCCGTGGGCTGACGCTCTAACTGCTGAGCCCAATTGGCCAAGGCGATGGTTTTCTCTTACATCGATGTTTCTGTCTCTTTCTCCCTCTCTCTTCCTCTACCTAAGAATCAATAACAAATTATTTTTTAAAAAGATAATAGCAACTATCGATGAAAGTATTACTAATCAGCTCATTTTGCTTTCACGCCTAAAAACTTTATTTCTTGACTCTGGAATCAGGTTCATGAGCAAGTGTTAGGGATACATTCACTCATTAAATAGTAACTGAGTACCTACACTTGAGGACTTAAAGTCCAATAATACACCATATCTGGGTTAATGTCGTAGTTCCTTATCATGCTCTAATATGGGTAGAGCTAGTCTTATCCAGTAAGGAATATTCCAACTTGATTTACCTGGTTAGGTGAGAGCCAAGAGCTAAAATGACTCACTCTTTTCTCTCTGATAGCAGCAGCACTCTGTCTGCTGGATAATTTTGTGCAAAGTGGTATGGCTCTATTTCTAGCACACAAGAATACCTTTGTATCAGTTAATCAAGTCTTGCAAAGTAGCTTTCATTATTTGCAACTAACTGCCTCTATCAAAGCCATAAAACCTGTTCTGGGGGTAAATATTGATTTTCAACACTAAAATAAACTTTTCTTAAAAATCTATTCCTTTGACAGTGTCTATCAGCATACTTAGCTAGGCTTAGCTTTTCTGTCATTTGTAACTTACATCCAAACGTATTTTCTCTTACATGCAAATCCAGCGAGTCACATGCCTTTAAATCTGACCATATTCCTGGCACTGTGCTAGCATTTCATAATACATCCTTGCCCTTAGGGAGCTTCAGTAAAGAAGACATGTATATAAACAAACAAGTTTTGTGTGCGTGTGTGTGTGTGTTTTAAACTGAGCCCACATTTTCACTTTCTGTTCCTCCAAAACCCCATTGAAATAACAATGTATAGAAACTTCAGCCATAACAGAAAGAAGAGAGTTCTTGAGCCAATAAGAAATTTTATTTCATTTATGGAAAACCAAAACAGGTGGTAGCATCCTGTTTGACAAAACTGTATAGAAGACCGGCCTAGCCCTGGCCGGTTTGGCTCAGCAGTTAGAGCGTTGGCCCACAAATGGAAAGGTTGCAAGTTCAATTCCCAGTTAAGGGCACATACCTGGATTACAAATTCGATCCCTGGCCTCCGTCGGGGTCATGCGGAAGGCAACCAATTGATGTGTCTCTCTCACATCATTATAAAATATTGCAGTAATATTATCCTACTATTTGATGAGGTATGTTTTGTTTTATATAATATATAGGGATTTCTGAACATTTTCAGGGAAACCAACAGGTCAATATTTGTTTCAAAATAAGTGAGTCATTTAAAAATTATTCTGTTCTTTTTAAAACATTTCACAAACCAGTGGACTTTTCTGTTTTTGTTTACGTTTATGTGTTTATTTAAGCATTCCTATTTTTTAACATGGTATCAAATTTTCTACATAATCAATTATATGTCTACTTCTTCTTAGGCTTAAATAAAATGGAATTGTTGTAGATGAAATTGAAAAAGCACTCTTGGCCCTGGGAGGATTAGAGTGGTTAGAGCATACGCCCACAGATCGAAGAAATGTGGGCTTGAATCCCGGTCAAGGGCATGTATCTGGGTTGCAGGTTCGATCCCCAGCCCTGGTCGGGGCTGTGCGGGAGGCAACCAGTTGCACACATCAATGTTTCTTTCTCTCTCCCTCCCTCCCTCCCTTCCACTCTATCTAAAATCCAATGGAAAAATTTCCTCAAGTGAGTATTAACAACAATAACAAAAAGACTTGCCTAGATATACTTCAAAGGTGCTCCAGTGGAAAGCTGGTTTGCCATTGGAACTCTTGAAAAGATATCAGTTAGGGGTTAGGAATTTTAAAGGCCTGGAAAAGAATGACTGTAGTCAAGGGGGCTGATTAAAGGTCTGTTCACGAAACACCTGTACCAGTTGTTTCCAACTGTCATTTTAAGACCCAGAGTTGCAGGTACATGATATTTACCATTAGTCAAAAATCTGCTGGTAGGTGGATATTTACCATTGGGAGAAAAAAATTCTGAAAGCTTATTTCTAAAAAATTCAAATAAACTATCTGGGAAAGCTAATTCTAGCATGGACTTGGCACTCCACATCTAGTGTTTGAGAGCCACCCTACTTAATTGCTGGCTATCTGACCATCCTCTGTATAAGAAAGCCTGTTGATTAACTTATTCCACCCACATCACAAAGCTCCCAGGCCATCTTCTCACTCATGAGTGTGAACAGTGGGAAAATAGGAGACACACAAAAGCACAGGATACGTAACTTGCTCCCTAGAGAAATTGACACAGACTTTCTTTCTTTTTTTAATCCTCACCCAAGGATATTTTTCCATTTATCTTCAGACAGAGTGGGAGGGAGAGAGGGGTTGGGGGAGGCAGAGAGGGAGAGAGAGAGAGACATCTACGTGAGAGGGACACTTCGACTGGTTGCCTCCCGCATGACCCCAACCAGAGCTGGGTATGAACCGCAACCCAGGTATGTGCCCTTGACTGGAATCAAACCCGCAGTTCCTCGGTCCACGGGTCAATGCTTCAACCACTGAGCCAAACCAGCCTGGGCCAGACTTTCACTCTTCACTACAATCTTGCACCACGTAAGTCCTGGACAGACAACATATGTGATAGTGGTACACCATACAGCCTAGGTGTACAGTGTGCTGTGCATCTGGGTTTGTGTAAATACACTCTATGATGTTTGCACAGTGATGAAATTGCCTAATGACCCGTCTTTCAGAATGCATTTCTGTTGTCAAGTGGCATGTGACTGTATTAATGGATAACCAGGGATCACCTGACATTTAAGAAAAACCAATGATATAAAAATAAAAATAAAAAACAGAAAGAAAAATAACAGAACCTGAAGGATTCTATAAAAATGTTAATTAATGCCGATTAGATCTGTATGATGAATGGCTCTGAGAGGGATAAAATGATACCTCATGCAACAGAAGGTTTATCTGAGAAGCTGGACTTAAAAAGTGGTTAGAAACTGGAAAAGGGCTAACCATGAAAGTCATGGTTCAAGTATAATGCAAATTAAAATCATTTTAAGATGTAAGGAGAATACATTTGATCTTGAGTCTAGATACATTCTCCTTCAGGTAGCCCAGAGAGTAACATCTAAATAAGGGTGCATAGTTTTAGCATATTTCATGGCCTTATAGGTGAAAAATTTACATAGTGATAGTAATGTAAATGTTAACTTTTTTTTATCATTTAAAATACTTTAATCAAAGTAATATGTGTATTTTTTAATTTTTTAATATATATTTTGATGGTTGACAGTATTAGAAAAATATATAACGTAGAATGCATACTAAAAAGCAAGTCTTTGACACCACCTCACTCTTTTCTACATTAAAACTCTAAAAGTTACCACCTAAACTATATTTTGGATCTTCTAGTGGTTAGTTCCATACTTTTACATAATATGCTTGTATAATTACTTTTTATTTATCAACTTTAGAAGTGATCTGAAAAGATAGAGAATTTATCTTATCTTTTACAACCCTGTTATCCCCCCTCCCGGTATCATAAATTATTATTTTTCAGTTCTTCTATTTGTTATCTTATTGCTTTAAAGAATATGTAAACCTTTATTTCTTGTTCTATCATGCTACACTACTTGACAACTTATATATGATGAAGGTATAAATATACATACCCCTTTCTTCATATATCCTCCCAATATTCTAACCCTCATATTCCATCACCTCTACTACTATATTGTAAATATTCGCTTGAAACAATTTTTCATATATCCTTAAATCAAGTCCTTTATTGAATATATATATATTGCAAATACATGACACCACCAAAAGAAACTAATTAAGCTTCAATAATTGACCCTAAAGAGATGGAGA